ACGTATGCACGTAGGTATGTACGTATGTATGCATGCATGCATGTATGTATGTGTGTGTATCTTGCTGGCTAGATCTTGATACGGATAAGATATAGATACGGATACAGATGCAGATGCATTTGCAGATACAGATATAGACAGCTACAGATATAGATGCAGATACAAAAAAGATACAGATGCAGGTACCGATAGATGTAGATACAGACACAGAGAAAGATGTAGACACAGAAACAGATAAAGATTTAGATACAAATGGAAAGAGAGATAGAGATAGTTAGAGACAGATAGAGAGACAGAGAGGCACATACCTGTTTAGGGTTTTGGGTTTAGAATTTAGGGTTTAGATATGGATATGGATTCAGCTATAGCCTTAAATATAAATGTAGAAGTGGATATAGATATAGATACAGATCTCTGTACATGCCTGTGTGAATGTGTGTATGGGTACGTGTAGGTGTAAGTGTTCTTGTACATGTATGTACGCATGTATGTAGGTGTGTATTGATGTAGTTGTATAGTCGTATGTACGTATGTATGCAGGCATATATGTATGTATGGATGTATGTATGTATGTATGTATGTATGTATGTATGTGTGTGTGTGTATGTATGCGTGTATGTATGTGCTGTCTGTGTGTATGTATGTGTGCATGAATTTACGTATCTAGGTCTCTTACAACCGTTGTAGAACCCTTTAAGACCCCTATGCAACTTTTATGCAGAACTTAAAGCCCTAAATGCACGAAGAACTGTGAAGCCCAGACAGGCTTAGCTTCGGACATCCGAACGCTGCCCGCCAGCACTTTGCCATGAGATCTGGAAGGGTCGGGTTGGGACTGGGCTTTGGGCTTAGGTGGATCTAGAAATTAGGTACAGAATTCTAGAATTTTAGAACCAACAAGTCATGGATTGCAGAGTCTAGGATTTCAAGAGTTTGTGATGCCATGCGCTGCCGACTGCTATGCGGCACAGAAACTCTCCACCACGAGCGTAATGAAGCAGATTTCAGGAACTGGTGTCCGGGTTTTGCTTGGGGTTTCAGAATGTTTCTGGTTGGGTTTGAGACTCGTCGGAAAAGAACTTGAAAAGTCTGCCGTTTCATGCTCAGGGCCGGGCCTCTTCGGATGAAGCTCCTGCGGGCTCATGATCATGGAGTCACACTCGTGCCCGTTCTACTCGCTCCTGAAGTCTATAGGGCTTAGGGGGTTTGGGTTTAGGGTTTAGGGTTTAGGGTTTAGGGTTTAGGGTTTAGGGTTTAGGGTTTAGCCCTAAACCCCTACAGCTTGAACCGAAACCCACAAGCCTCTAACCCCTAAAGCCGTAGGCCCGAAACCCGAAATGCCATAAGGGCACCTGGATCGCGGCGGCGGACTTCGCGAGCTGCGGCCTCGAGCTGTTCGCCCCCAGCTTCCGAGAGAGAAAAGCACGGAATTCACCCTCAAATTCTCTGCGCGAGAGTTTGGGGGCTAGGGTTTAGGAGTCAGACTGATCGAAAACCTAGCATCGAAATAGCGATGATGTTAGCGACAGTAGGAGAAACAATGCAAATGACGTCGTGACATCAGTGAGTATCGTGTAGTGTGTAAAGAGAACAGGCAGAGAACCCTCCAAAAAAGCCGACTGCCGATCGCAGCTGGACATGTGAAGTGATCGGCTGGGGCGACGCGTCTCTGGCGAGATGCCACAAACTAGGCCTTCCTGCTCGAATCTGTGTTGGTGGAGGCGTCCGTGCCGGCACGGGATCGTCTCGGAGTGACCTCACCAGAGACTGAGCACGAGCCATATCACATAAGATGTTCTTCTAGAATGAAGCCCCTCATGATGAGTTCTATTCTCGCCGCATAAGCAGAGCTTCCCACCAGAGCTTCCCAGACCCTAAACCCTAGCCACGAAGCCCCACAGAAGTGCATGAAACCCTAAATCCCGACACCCTGGAGCTCCAAACCCACAAACCCACAGCCCTCGACCCTTGAGGTCCCTACCTGGCTCGGTCGCGGCTTTGGCGACGGCTCGGGCGTGGCCTTGGCAGAGAAGGTGGTGCTGCTCGCCGCTGCCTCGGTGCTGAAGGAGTTTCAGGAGGCTTTGGGTTCGGCATTTGGGGTTCAGGTTCAAGCCTGAGGGCTTAGGGCTGAGGGTTTAGAGTTTGGCGCCGGCGATAAGAACCGCCCGGCGATCACATGTGCTCACGTCGTGCGAAGAACATCCATCCATGAATGCAGACAACAGATAGGCAGGCAGGCAGACAGACACACTGCAGAAAGAATCCGCGCTTGGCAAACAACAAAACTCTGGGGCCAGCGGGCCACCGCATCCTCGCGTTCTTTCAGCTGCCGCCGTCGCTCCTTGCGTGAGGTGCAGGCGCGCAGACCCCTGGTTTGACTTGTTACATGGGCCTCCTACTAAGGGTCCGCGACTGTTTTTGGCCTGCTGTTCCCAAACTGAACAGAGGCAGAGTCATAAGAATCAGAACTCTGTCTTTCTTCTGTACCTGAGGCCCTGAGAGCTGCAAGTCAGAGAGCCCCGAAGCTCTGGCCCCCGAAATGTCAGAGACCTATTACATTTTTGTTGTTTAGAGTTCAGGTTTAGGGCCCACCTTTTCTTGGTGTCTGTGCTACCACAAACTGTCGTGTCTACGGCTGACGGTCGGCGGTGGCTCCTCCCCGCGTCGAGCGATCGTCGCACTGACGTCCTCTACACTGCAGGATTCATGACTTGGACCCTTCAGAACAGATGCGGGTCATGGGAGACCTCTTCAATGAGCATTGCCTTGAATGGCAGAAGACCACTAAAGCACGACCTCGTCGTCGGAGGAGTCGCCCAAGCCGCCTTCCCACTCCTTCTCCACCTGTGCAAACCAGTTGCTTCCGAGTGGTTGCTGTTACTTCTCAACATGTCCGGCGCCTGACCCACAAACCCTAAATTCCAGCCAGTGCAGCCTTGAAGATGTTCAGGCAGCAGTAAACTGAATGTTAGGCCCCTCGTGTGGCCCAGCTCCGTTGCAAAATGTAAGTTCTTGTGACAACAGTAGTGACTGCGACACTGCAAGGGTTTATGATAGCGACGTCGATACCGACAGTGATGGTCATAGCGGAAGTGATCGCTACATTCATACTTGTAGTGACTTTCGTGTGCGAGATTACCATGATAAGCCGTTGAAGAGGCAGAGCAGGCTCTTGCCCATGCGTCTTTTTGATGAGGCCTGTCACTTGCTGCTTGCGAGTGAGATTTGGCAAGCAAAACAACCCGACTTGATCACCATCTGGCATGATGCCTTTCTACTACGCCCATGGCATCCTTGACTACCACTCTTCGGCCATCCGGCAACAGCACGGTGCCCTCGAAGATCCCGTAGGGCTGTATGAAATGGTTGGCCAGAACGCCCGCGTCCACGTCGACCGCACGGAAGCCAAGGGGTTTACAGGTCAGGTCGAGTTGGACCTTGGCCTCCTTCCGAGATTTCACGAACCAGGCGTCCGCGAGTAAATCTCGATCAGGGGTCACGATGTCCACGATACCATCGACAGGATGCACCGTGCCATCAATCCAAACTGCGTTTTCGACAGAGCCATGCTCAGGCACATCGTACACCCACTCGCTCAGGTTGATTCCTAGGTCCACGTCTTTGCCATCAACTTGAGCTCGCACTGAGAGCGAGACCCATTTCCACCTGGTCTCGTGCTTGGCCAACGAGTACGTCCAATCTAAAGAGCCAAGACCGTTGACGAAACTGTGATGCTTTCCGTCGATGCTTACGAAGCCAGTAACAGGCAAACCTGCCCCCTTATGTACATATGCTGGCCGCCGGTCTTCAATTGGGTATACAAATGCCATGGCGTCTCGCTCTTTCATCGTGACCTCAACCTTGATGTGGTGGCTGTCCCCTGTCTTGTCGCGACGCGCTGTGAGGTCAATACTAATGTTCCAACTCCTAGAACGATGATCCCAACACTTTCTGATAAGGTAGGGACTGAGCATTGCTGGGAAAGGGTTGTAGCCTTCAGAACAGCCAGAGTGTGACGATGCACTCAAGCGGACGCCGGCACCGCCTGGTACGAGGGAGTCAAAATCAAACTTGTTGTTTGGATCCTCCTGCTTATCGACAATGTAAAGAAAGACTTCACTGGCATACTGAAGATTGACCAAAGCAAAACCGATGAAATACTGGTCTGTGCTGATGGATGTATAATCAAACTGTTTTAGATTCCACAGCTTCTCCATGCAACCTAGCCCGGTGAAAGTCACCTCAGCTTGGATGGGCTTCCGCCAACGCCCGTAAACGTACCCGTGTGTTACGGAATCATACAGCGGTGGCTCACCGTTCTGAACCGCCATGTCGAAATGGTGACGCCAGTAGTGTGTCGCTTGGCCGTCGTGGCCTCGCTCCATTGACATGTGCACAGTAAATGCGACCACCACTGCCAGTGAGCTCCACATAGCCTTCATGGTGTCTTTTATGGATGAAACCCCTCTTGGAGCTGAGGACAGGTTTGTGCAGACACATGCAGACTGCTCGTCCTGGCTGGTTCTGATTGGAGCTTCAGGGTGCTAGTAATGGACCTGACATCATCGGCTGTTCGAGTCTGACTGCAGTACCATGCGCACGACCGATACTATGCTATGCAAGACAAGTAGAACTGAGCCGCAAAGTGCTATCGCCGACTTCCGAAACTCCAGGTCAGGGTTCTGTGCTTTGCGCAGAGTCGGCATCGTTCTAGCAAGAGGCTAGACCGAGATGTCTGAGAAGGGGCACGAAGATTGCTGGAAGAATAATAACACTCACCGCAGCAACTACAACAGCAATTTCTCGCGAAGGAGCCCTCCTCCCTGTCTTGTGGCCTCCACGACAGCCACGGGCTCGTTGGCGAAGTCCACCGCTTTCACGGGCTCCACAGCTGGCAAATGCGCCCAGATAACACAAACATGTCGAGGTAGCTACAGCGCTACAATCTCCTTTGATGGCTCCAAGAGGAGATTAAGCATCCAACGGCTTATACCAAACGGTTGATTGGGAAGCTCGTGCTTCAAACTTCAGAGCTGTGGCTCAGGATTGTGTCCGGGCACATGTTTCAGCTCCTTTTTTTCCACTCTCTACCTGCTGCCAACCACGTGCTGCATTCCAGTCAGCCCTGCCAGTCGAGTAATCCAGACTACAATGACTCGATGGGGCTTCGGGGAAGACCACAGTTGTCGCAATCTTATTCTCCGATTTTCTTCCCGATATGCAGACGTGCTGGCACCGCTGCATGGAGACTCGCGAAAGGCACACCCTGAATCTAAACTGGAGTGAGATGCTCCGAACCTGGAGGTTAGCACCATGTCAGGCTCAGGTGCCCCGGCTGGCTGAAGAAAACGGCAAGTCAAGCGATGAAGGACCCCTCCTGCCTCACTCCGTCAGCTCACTCCGGGCTTGACATCAGCGGAAGCATTGTCCAAATTGCAACTACATCAACATCATTATCTTGTACCTTTGTAAAGCATGTCTAGCACTGCGCTACCGTATAGCGGCATCGCCCGGTCTAACTTTGTACAACAGCAACCGAGCGTTCACAGCGCGCAAACACTGCTCATTCTGGGCGAGCCGAGGCCTCTGACGGAATTTGAGCAAGCCGGAGCTGCCCCCCCCCCCCCCCCAACAATAAGCCCAGCTCACAAAACCCTTGCACTGAGATCGATGCCCCGCGCATAGGTGCATGCTCGTTTGTTGGCGGGCATCATACATACATAAATGCATACATACA